TCATCCAAGCTTATTCAGTTCTAACTCAGACCTGCAAAAGCTTCTTGGATGAGAAGCAAAATGTTTTCAAAAAGAAAACAACAAAAAGAAAAGTCTAGTTGCTTTTTGAAAAAAAGCACCTTTGGGACAGTCCAGAAGGTTCAGTAAACCTTCATGGTACACTAGTTTTAGTGCATTTCCTTCATTGTCCATCAGTGAAGGGCATTCTTCCAATGCCCTTTTTTCTTCTGCAATTAACTGGTGTACAGGTAGTCCTTGACTTATGACCACAATTGAGACCAAAATTTCTGTTGCTAACCAAGTCAGTTGTTAAATGAATTTTGCCCCAATTTAATGCCCTTTCTTGTGACGATTGTTAAGTGAATCAATACAATTGTTAAATTAGGAACGTGGTTGTTAAGTGAATCTGGCTTCCCCATTGACTTTGCTTGTCAGAAGGTCACAAAAGGGGAATACATGACCTTGGGACAACCATCATAAATATGAATCAGTTGCCAAGCATCTGAACTTTAACACGTGACCATGGGGATGCTGCAATGGTTGTAAGTGTGAAAAATAGTCATAAGTCACTTTTTTCAGTGCTGTTTTAACCTTGAATGGTCACTAAATAAACTCTTGTAAGTCAAGGACTACCTTGACTTACAACACTTCATGCCCATCTATGCTCTTTGGCAAGTAGAGTTTCTCAATGCATGGACGAAGACCACAATTCATTCTAATCCATTTTTTTCAATCCAAGGCTTTTAGTTCTGATTGAGCCCATTCCATTATTCTGGTTGTGTATCTAATGACTGGAAATATCCAGATGTTAATTGCCTTGATGGTATTCAACCAACTTTCCTTTTATTGATCCTATAAAGCTGATGGCTCTGGTTGTTCAGCCAAGCTGACATATGCGTAGCCATTTTTAATTGTAATCATTTCTTATGCATATTCTTTCCTACTTTTTTCAATATGCTTTATGGGGATTAACAGTGCTTCAAGCTCGCCACATCTGGCAGCTAGAAGGGGGGTAGGAGAGATAAGGGATGGTGGTGCAGCAGACTAAAGTGCTGTTAAATAGCACCAGCTGCCTGCAATTACTGCAAGTTCAAATCTCACCAGGCTCAAGGTTGACTCAGCCTTCCATCCTTTCGAGGTAGGTAAAATGAGGACCCAGATTGTGGGGGCAATAAGGTGACTTTGTATAAAAAAGAACACCATTGGGGGGGGCAAAAGCCCTACTAAGCAGGTATATACAAAAGTATAAAGGCTATTGCTTAACGCATTGTAAGCCGCCCTGAGTCTGCGGAGAAGGACGGCATATAAATCGAACAAATAAATAAATAAATAAATAAATAAATAAATAAATAAATAAATAAATGGATTGTTATGGCTAGGTGGCATTCTTTCCCATGAGAATAGTCAAAGTGCCTGCAGATGGTAGAAGGTGGAGTTTGGAGAACCTAGGGTTGTAGAACAACTAAGTTTACGTAGGTAAAACCTGGCTAGAAAGAATATGCACATAAAAGCCTACAAAAAAGAAAAATGTATATATATATATGTGTGTGTGTGTGTGTGTGTGTGTGTGTGTGTGTGTGTGTATTGGGTGTAATTCCGGAAGCTGGGCAGATTTGGAATTACACAGATGTCCAAAACTTCAAAACCTAGGGTGTACCTTGTTAATCTGAGTGGTGACCAATCTAGTAAGAATTTCTGAAAATTACATCTCACTATGTTGATTATTATTACCCTGAACATCTCTGTCAACATCTGACATATCTATTGATATCTGAGCCAGGCCAAATATTAATGCTTTCAGATCAAGGGAGGGTTTTCTACTATTGGGTTTGGTATAGAATGTATTTACTCAGCCAAGAAAGTAAAAGTAAGGAATATTAATAAATAGAAATAGAGCAGAATGAAGTCTTTGAACCAGAACGCTTGTTCATCTATTTCCAGTCCAGTCTGCTGCTTCTATTATTTCTTGCCATCTAAGTGCAATGCAGTGAATTTGAGAATAGATTAATATATATTATAAAATTACTGCTAACATACTCAAGCAAGTTAACTACTTTGTTCACTTATAACTCCTCCAGCTGTCAATTCAATTTTAGTTTCCATAAATCTCAGCTATGATGGCCAATGGAGATGTTTTCTGAGTTTTGAAATTGCAGTCCAATATTTCTAAATTCAATCATGCCAGGTGTCAAAAGACACTCCATGTGATTGTGTGTGTGTGTGTGTGTATGTATGTATGTATGTGTGTGTGTGTATATATATATATATATATATATATATATATTATATATGTATGTATGTATGTATGTATGTATGTATGTATGTATGTATGTATGTATATGTATATGTATATTATATGTATATGTATATGTATATGTATATGTATATGTATATGTATATATGACTGGAATGCAATCTTGCACTGTTGAATTTAACAACATTTCATTGTGCAACTAGATTGAAGAATTATAATATGCACATCAGAAAGCTTTTAAAAAGTTTAACTTTTAGAAAACATATATACAGTATCATTCCCAGAACATTATCTCGTCTGGATTTTGCTGAAAAAGGGAAAGTTCTGGAGCATCCATTGTTAATAACAGTGTAATTTGTTTCATAAAAACCATTCTGCAAATCTAATGTGTTGTGAATGTTTATAGTGGCCCTTTTGTATAATATTATTATGAAAGAAACTTCTTTTCAAATTTCATGAGTGGAATTTGGTAATCCAAGAATAGATTGGTAATGAATGATATCATAATTGTGATCATAAAAGAAAAGTTGGGAGCCACTGTACTTTGTCTCCATTTTTTTAGTATGTTCAATTCTTCTGAACATTTTGTAGTCCTATTACATTATATTATTAAATATTCATTATTTTCCATTGTGTATTTTGTGTACAATATGTAAACTCATTTTTTGAGGCGGGGTCTCATTTGTCTAGAAAAAAATGAAGCTTTGGGTGTGCCTGGTTAGAAGCAGGAGAACGTTATGAATGAGGGATAATTGTTGGAGTCCTGTTATAATACTAGGACTTCAGTGCTAAAATATTCTGGTTGTTATTTACAGTATACTTGTTAAATACATATATAATCTGTGAATTACCCTAGGCAACTAAAATAAACATTTTCAGTTTATTTCATTTAGTCATTTAGAAATTGATGTGGACTTTGGTATTATTTTAACTATATTAGTTTGTATTCTCAGTTAATCTCTCAATCTAGCAATGTAAAATGGAATTCCCATTTCTATATTTATTTTGGTGTCCTTTCAAACACAAAAATCTCGCCTTCTGTGAGAAAGTAGGTAACAGTAATGAAACACTGTGGAATAACTAAGTACACCATGGTACAAGGTAGCTTCTTCTTTTTAATTCTTTTTTCTTCTTTTTAATTCTTTTTTAAAAAAGAATCCATTATTATCACACTTTATTGTATTGGAGTAATGTTATATAATACTAATGTAATAATAAAAAAACCGTTAACACATACCTTGGAGAATGAAAGTTTTAATTTTTTAAATTATTATTTTATATTTAATAAAAATTGCAAAGGATAGACAATGAAAATTCAATGATGTAATATGTGGACCAAGCTAGACCATTGACTGTCAGCTTGGATAAAATAAAATGTGACTTTTCAAAGGAGGAAAAAAGGGAAGAGATTGCTGAAGTGATGGGCATCAGGAGAAGGTACCTGAACTTCAGGTACGAAAATTTATGGGGCTCTATCTGAATATTTAAGGGCGATAAGAGTTCTGAATGACATTAGTAAACCTCTTAATTATTTGAGTATTATAGCCATCTGTATTTTAAGATATTTCTACAACATCAAGCAGTAATATCTGACTGCAATGGATTTCATTAGACTATGTACTGGATTTTCTGTAAAAAATTATATATCATTCATCAAATTTATTTATATGCCAAGGAGCCAGTCCTAAAATTAAACTTGGTAACACAGGTGCCTTGGAGAAAATATTTTTTTCTGAGTCTTAAATGTGAAATAGCTTCCTATAATACTTATGTTTTGACCCTATTAGATAGGTACTACATGCAACTTCATTTCAGGTAGCAAAATATTTAAGGATAATCATGAACTAACATTAAAATTAAGGTGTCCCTTAATATGAAAAACATATAAAAAATAATTATCATCCACAAAATTGTCTATGTATTTATTTATTGAACAATTTAAATACTGGCAGCTTCAAAGACTCTATTTATTATTACCATCAGCAGTAATAAAATATCAATATAAAGAAACAATCCCCTGCATAAATTTTACAATCACAATAAATTACTACAATTAAAGAAAATATTATTTAACAATTTTAATAGTTTTAAAATCATTTGAATTAAACAAATTTTTTTTCAAATGACTATCTTGGCCGGGGATCAGGACACTTTCATCTGAACATTGCCTTGGTAGCAGCTTTTCTTTTTTGTCTTTCAAGGCCATTCCCTCTGTCCTCTACAAATGCCTACTTTCTTCCCAGAAAAAATCTCAATAAACCTTAGAAATGTCAATTGTTTCATCAGGCACATGGGATAAGACTTCCTAACCAGTCCACGACTCTTGCAGATTAAGTATGGCAGCAATGTGCACATGAACAAAATAATAACTGAACTATGGCCAAGTACTAATGTCAATGTCCTCCATCTTCAAATTATGTCTCATCTGCTTCAAGAGAAAGACAAGATATAATATGTTATTATTAATAACATATTATTATTAATAATAATGATATTATAATATATAAAAATAAATAATTATATCTATGATATGTGTTGGATCCAAAATCATGTGTAACAAGCCCATGTTGGCCATAGAAACTTTGAGATTCCAAGCCCAAATGAATTACTCACCCTGGGTATGGAGAATGAAATCCTTCAGCATTGTTGCATGGAAGATTTCAAAACCAGCTGAACTATAATTTCCAGGAGCCCATTTAGTTAAATGTGTATATAACACATATTATAACAACATCAAAAGGCTTCATTTTAACTGTTTACAAGTTTATAAGAGTAGCAATAATTCAATAATGCATGAGGATATAGAATTACAATAAGGATAAGACTGTCATTGTTACATAGTATTTTCATTGCAATTATTCTTTTTTCTTGTTATGAAACCGTGCCAAAAGACCACTTCTTATACTTCCTGGTTGTTTTTGGTTTTTTTCTATTAAAGTCTGTAAAGCATTTTGTGCCTATTAGAAGAAGAAAACACATATGTAAATTTCTCTCGACTCCTGAATGCTTTTGCTTAATGACAGTCACATATAGATCAGTTTACCTTTTTCACCAGCTCTTCAACAGTTATGTTTGGATCATATGGTATGGGCTTTCCAATATGTGTACGCCATTTCACTGGAAACCCTCCATACAAAATAATTAGTGGCCATCGAACATATTCGTATAAGTCTTTTACTGGTTCTATATGATGAGAAAATTAGGTTGCATGTTAAGTATAAAAGTCAGTCTTCAAGGTTAGGTTCAGATGAACAGCATTCTGAAGTTAACTTATATGATTTTATTGTCTTTTATGGTTTGTACTTCGTTAAAAAATGCTTCAATAAAAATATTTTAAAAAGTGATGTAAAATTACAGCAGCTCCTAAATTATCAATGCCTATTATATCATTGATGACAACTATTAAATCAGCATTCTGTATCATTCTATGTTCAGCATACAATATAACTGCATATATGAAAGCATTTCTTTTTGTTTTTATTATTTTTTTCATCTGGAATGGAAAGAAATACAGGGAGACTTAGGGCTATCTGTCAATCGACACATTAATTCTCAAAACAGAAGAGAATAAAACCAAATTTGTGAAAGTGGGTAGCAAAAGAGAGTTGTAAAATGGATTGGACCTGTTCAGACTGTTCAGATTCAGAGGCTATCCTTTTTCTCGGAGAAAAGGTTTTGGAAAAAAATCCACCAGTGCAGACCTTGGAGATAAGCAAGCACTCCTTGGGAGTGCTACTGATTGCTCCAGTTTAAACTTCCTTATTTCCTGCCTCCTGATCACGAAACCAGGGTGGAATTCTACGCTTCACAGTATACACTTAAAAATATTTTTTTACACAAGGAAAGAGCAAAAGCAGACACGCTCACAAAAGCATCCACCTTGATGGACTTATACAAAAAGACACAGAAATATTTAAGCTGGCAATATATATCACCCAGCCTAAATTACATCTTCACACAAACACACAGACACAGAAGCAAAGTATGCACTTAACAGGACCATAACGACTACCACCAGAGGTGGTATTCAGCCAGTTTGCACTGATTTGTGGAACCGTTTGTGGAAATTTGGCCAAGTTCGCCAAACCAGTAGTGATGGCCAGCTGGCCATGCCCCCAATCTGGCCTTCCGGTCGCTGCTCACTTGCCCCGCCTGTCATGTTCGTCGCTGCCCTATTCTTCACACGTGCATCCCATTGCTTTGCAAGTCCAATGGGATGCGCATGTGCGAAGAACATGGTGGAGATGTCAGCAGCCTTTTCTGAGACCTCTGGTACTTTTTGGCAGCCTGTAGCCAACTGCCGCCTCTTTGAGAGTCGCTATACGGCTGTGGCAGCTGGCTAGGGGCCGCCAAAAACTCTGGTCAGCTTGCCTTCCGGACTCTGGACCAGCTGCTGCAGAAGGTAAGCAGCCTGAACAAAGAGGTGGTGAGGGGGGAGGAAGTGGGGCTAGAGCTGGGGCCACTAAAGGAGGGGAAACCAGGTGACTGACAAAAAGGGGATAGGTGGAAATTCCAAAAAAATTCCTACTTTTTCCTGTAGGCATGGCTAGGTGAGGGCGTGAGTGACATCAAGTTGGCCATACCCACTCAGTCACATGGCCTCCCCCACCTAGCCATGCCCACTGAACTGGTAGCGAAATTTTTTGAAGTCCATTAGTTTATTACACAGATAAATTCAGTAGCTCTGTTGCTAAAGAATTAGAAAAAAATCCAGAAGGATGTTCTTCAGTCTTCTCCTGCCTTGCTTAGTGAGCATATTTCAAATAATAAGCAATTTAAAATTTGGGTTCTTAGACTGCAGTCAATACAAATAGCAACATAGTCTAGAAATATGCATTTTCCCAGTAAAACAAGATCTACAAGCAGAAAAAAACATTTGTCAAGTGGAATAAAATCAGAAATATTATGTATATGCTGTATTGTACCAGTAAGCTTGGACCTTAGAGGATGGGTGAACTTGTGAGGTGGTTCCACTATTACTAACATCCCTTTATTTGTTATTTATTTGTTTTGTGTTTTATAGCCTTTAATTTTTATATTATAATTGCATGAGTCAGTTGCTTGTGAAATGGAGGGCTAAATTAGAAAAAAAATAAACTGGATGCTAATGGTTTTTTTTTGTTACTGATAATAAGGAAAGGGTATTGATAATGATTTTAGATATTTATTGTTCCAGTATTGGGATACACCACCCAGACTTACTTGCATTGGAGATGGGTGGCTAAAATCAATCAATCAATCAATCAATCAATCAATCAATCAATCAATCAATAAATAAATAAATCCATTAGTAAAACTTGCTCAGTAGAAAATTCCATCTTTCTGCAAAATCACTGTGTTGGAGCTGTGGTGGAACACTATAAAACAAATACTATTTGTTTATTTGAGTGTTTAGGAACATTGACAGTTTATTTTTTAAAAAAACTTATAATTGTAAGTTATAAAACTTATAAAAAAAAATAAGTTTAGAAAATATGTAGTATGTTTAACTTACTTATCTTACTTCCAAGTATCTTATACCCCTCACGACTGTTCTCTGTAAACATTGGAATTATGGGCTGGGGAAAAGAAGCAAGGAAGCAAATATCAACTTCATTTCTTTAAAATATTTCATTTTAATAACTGGTAATTTGAAGAACATGTGGTTTGATGTGCCTGTTTTTAATTACTGTAGCAGCTTCCTCAGCTGCTACAGTACATTCCTGTAGATGTTCTTTATCTACAAAGTTATTAGATGTATATCTCATCTTCCTGCCAGGAACCTAAAGTGACATATATAACATCCCCTCCTTTGATTCTCTCTTTAAAAACAGCCCTATAGGATAGAGATGCTGAAAGATAATAATTGACTCAAAGTCATGGTTGATGGTAGGCTTGAACTAGGCACTTCCCAGTCATAATTTAGCATCCTCCCAAAAGTTTGTGTATTAGATGGAGTTGTGTGTTAGAACTACTTTACAAATAGAATGATAATGCATGAGAAAGGCATGTTATATAGGTGCCTTTCTCATGCATTGTCAATTTATTAATTTGATTTAGATGCCACTTGATTCTACAGATAGTTTGGTCTAGTGCAGGGTTGTCAAACTGGCATCGTCACGGCGGCATCACGTGATGTATCGGGACTTTTTCCCCCTTTGCTAAACTGGGCGTGGCCAGCGTGTGATGCAGCCGGCCTGTGGGCTGTGAGTTTGACAGCCCTGGTCTAGTGGTTACAGCACTGAGTTAGAAAGCAGGAGACTGTGAGTTCAAGTTCTACCTTAGCTATGAAAGCCAGTGGGTGACTTTGGGCCACTGATACTCTCTTAGCCCAACCCACCTCACAGAATTATGGTTGAGGGGAGGAGGTGTGTTGGATATGTTGCCTTGAGTTATTTGTAAAAATAATAAGGGTGGGATACAAATTAAACAATAAGACAACTGTCATCAAATTAATAAAAATGCAATCTGATGAATGTTGTGGAATATACAGTGAGATTTTTCCATGTACGAGCATGGTGGTGCAGTGGTTAGAATGCAATACTGCAGACTAACTCTGCCCACAGGCAGGAGTAAGATTCTGATTGCCTCAGCCTTCCCTTCTTCCGAGATGGATAAAATGAGGACCCAGATTGTTGGGGGCAAATGTGCTGAATTTGTAAACCACTTAGAGAGTTCTGTAAAGCCCTATGAAGCAGTATATAAGTCTACATGTCATTCCTATTGCTATGTATTTGGTAGGACTTACCACTCTTGCTTCTAAAGCAACTTTTGCAAAACCTGTGCGTTTACCCCATAAAATGTTATAGGTTTCATCACTAAAGATGGCTTCTCGTGTTCCTCCTGGTGAAATAGCCACCCAATCGCCATTCTTCAGGGCATGAAGACATTCTTCCTTTGAACCAGTTATCATTTTCAAATTACTGCCAAGCATTTTTAAGCCTGAAGGAAAGAGATAAAATGAATAAAAAATAAAATTAAAAATCTTTTTGAGAGCAGAAAGCTGAACAATGTCATAAGAAAGTATATTTTTTGAAAGACTAAATTGCTTTATTTCTGAAATAAAGCAATCAACAGTACTAATTTATTTTCTTAACTTTGTCAGTGACAATCAACATGTTTTAGCTGGGAAGAAAATGACAAACCATCTAGCCAGCATACAAATTATAAGATCCAAGAATTGTTTTATTTCAAATTGAATTGTTTTCATTTTAAATAGTAAGTCTTTTATTTTCTCATTCTATTATTCATTAATAAATAGCAACAAGAATTATATATAGTTTCTCATAATATGAGCTATTTTGCTGGATTGCATTTTAAAGTAACCCTATAACATATAGATTTAGAAGACGTATTGACTAGAAGGTAGAACATCTGTTGTGAAATTTCCCCTACCCTAAAAGTTTCAAACCATTATGTTATAGAAAAGTAAATATGTGCTAGTCGTTCCTGACTCTAGGGAGCGGTGCTCATCTCCGTTTCAAAGCCGAAGAGCCAGTGCTGTCCGAAGACGTCTCCGTGGTCATATGGTCGGCGTGACTGAATGCCGAAGGTGCACAGAGTGCTGTTACATTCCCACCAAAGGTGGTTCCTATTTTTCTAGTTGCATTTTTTATGTGCTTTCAAACTGCTAGGTTGGCAGAAGCTGGGACAAGTAATGGGAGCTCACCCCGTTATGTGGCACTACGGATTCAAACCGCTGAACTGCTGACCTTTCGATTGACAAGCTCAGCATCTTAGCCACTGAGCTAAGATCCCTATAGAAAAGGATAACCAATATAAATATGGTAATATAATTATATGTTGTATGGATGTGTATAGAGAGCTTTTCTAGGTGCTGACCGAGACAGCTAAGAAAAGACTTCTCTCTTAATACTGGCCTATGCATGCTGAAAGTCTTCTAGAAGACATGGCTTCACGAAGATGGCTGAAGCATCATATCTTGGGGGCAATTCCCTAGCTCTCAGGGAAAAGGTTGAGAGGAACCCTAAGCCTTTAGCATTTACCTCAGATTAATCTGACACCACCTAAATTGTTTTATCAGGGCAAATTTGATATCTTCTTTCTTTCAAGATAACAAATTAAATCATTTTCATAGCCTCAGTTGTTTGCTCAGTGTGAAAATATATTACTTTGCAGAGATCTATGATATGTATTGTGCTCTCTTTGAGTGATGTGCTATGATTCCTGAATCGAAACTCCCCTATTAGAGCCTCGGTGGCACAGTGTTTTAGAGCTCAGTATTACAGGCTACTTTGGCTGCCTGCTGGCTGTCTGCAATTTATTTATTTGTTCAATTTGTATGCCGCCTTTCTCCAAAGACTCAAGGCAACTTTAGCAGTTCAAACCCACCAGGCTCAAGTTTGCTAAGCCTTCCATCCTTCTGAGATGGGTAAAATGAGGACCCATATTGTTGGGGACAATATGCTGACTCTGTACACTACTTAGAAAGGGCTGTAAATCACTGTAAAGCGGTATATAAATCTGGGTGCTTTGCTATTGCTATTAATTTTATTTTCATATTGCTTTTCGTCCTGAACCTGTTCAGAGCAATGTACAAGAAGAATAGAAAACAATTTTAAATTCCCCATAGTAAAAATAAGAAATGCAAATGAAAGTACAAATACTACTACTACTACTACTACTACTACTACTACTAATAATAATAATAATAATAATAATAACAACAACAACTTAAATTTTGAACTTAAACTTTGAATAATAATGATAATGATAATGATAATGATAATGATAATGATAATGATAATAATAATAATAATAATAATAATAATAATAATAATAATAAAATAATAATAATCCAGATATCATGGTTATCGAGGGCCAAAGTATACAGTTTATTGATATCACTGTACCAGGAGATGCCAGAGACAGAAAACTGAAAAAAATCATGAAGTATCGCGACCTGGCCTTTGAAACTACACGGTTATGGATGAAAAATGTAACAGTGATACCCATTGTCATCAGGCCACTTGGTACCATGTCCAAGAATTTTATAAAACACATCAATTGCAGCTTCCTGCAATAACACCAGCGGAACTGCAAAAAACTGAATAATAGAAATAATAATAATAATAATTACACATTTATTCCTTAAACATGAAACTCAGTCAACTGAACATTTAAAAGTGTATCACAAATATTATTGACTGGAACTGATGGTTGTTAAGGGTTGCTGCCAGCATCCTAGGTATCGACCAAGTATTTTCTTAAAATGTACAAAGTTCCGAGTAGCACAGTTTTTTGCAGTTCCGCTGGAGTTATTGCAGAAAGCTGCAATTTCTTGATGTACTTTTTAAAAATTCTTGGACATGATGCCAAGTGCCCCAATGACAGTGGGTATCACTGTCACATGTTTCATCCATAATAACGTAGTTTCGATGACCAGGGCACCATATTTTGTTATTTTTTCTAGTTCTTTTTTTTTCGACTCTGGCGTCTCCTGGTACAGTGATATCAATAAATTGTATGCTTCGGTTTTTGATGACTGTGAAGAAAAAGAACTAGAAAAAATCACGAAATATCATGACCTCGAAACTATGTGATTGGTCAATACCTAAGATGCTGGCAGCAACCCATTTCAACCATCAATGCCAATCAATAATATTTGTGATACATTTTTAAATGTTCAGTTGACTGAGTTTCATGTTTAATGAATAAAAGTATAACAATAATAATCTTTAAAGGCCATCCAAAACAGCTACAGTATTACCCCATGCCTGCCTGAGTAAACAGGCATTTCTTCAGTTTCTGTAAAACAGAGAAACTTTAAACTTCGGTCAAAGCGAATTCCATCAATGGGGCTCTACCAGCAAGAAAATATGTCTGTGAGATAATCCACAAATAGTCCTTCAAGTTTACATGTATACCAAATCCCAAAAATACTTTTAACCTGAACAACCTCAAATAAGTTTTAGAATAAAGTGAAGCAGGACAATATATTGTCAGCTCCTTTAGACAAACCATGCAATGCAAATCTATAAATGCAATGATACAAATAATGAGTCCCCTTGGGAGAAGGGCGGTATACAAAATAAATAAATAAATAAACAAATAAACAAACAAATAAATAAACAAATAAATAAATAAATAAATAAAATATATATCACCTGGCAACTTAAAGACAAAATGATCGACCACTGTATGGCAACACAATCTGTTCTTCAGGAAAAAGATCCTTGCTAGAAAGAAAATATAATCTATAGGAAGTGGAGCATGATAATAAATAATAAGGCCTGGTCCATCCGGTAGATTTTCTACTCCATGTAATTCATAACCTGTTTTTAATACAAAACAGAACAGAATAGTGTCATTCATATAATCAAATGCATCATAAGCAGGGGTGAAATGCTCCTGGTTTGGACCAGATTGCCTGATCCGGTAGCGATGGCAGCGGGTGGTTCGGAGAACCGGTAGCAAAAATCCTTGCGTCCCCACCCCTTATGCCCAGCTGAGCCACACGATCATCAGAGGCTTTTTTTTTTACTTTTAAAAGCATTTTTTCTACAACCTCTTCTGACAAAAAAATTCTTTTAAAAGTTTTTTTAAAAAAGCCTCATCAGAGGCTTTTCAAAGCATTTTTTTCTGCAACCTCTTGGCCGAAGAGGTGGTTAAAAAAATGCTTTGAAAAGTGTCTGACGATCCCAGTTGAGTTGCCTGATCACAAGAGAGGCTTTTCAAAGCGTTAGAAAAAATGTTTTGAAAAGTTAAAAATAAAAAAAGTTGGCCATGCCCACCCAGTCACATTACCACCACCACCACCAAGCCACGCCCACAGAACCGGTAGTAACAAATTTTAGATTTCACCCCTGATCATAAGACTTTATTATACCAAGAGGTTCCAAAGTATCTATAGTTGATTATGCTTGATCTATTATTAGATCACAGCAGTAGCGGAGTGGGTGTGGCCAGTGCATGACGTATCTGGCCCAAATTTCAATTTTTTTTACTACCGGTTCTGTGGCTGTGGCTTGGTGGGCATGGCTGGGGAAGGATACTGAAAAATCCCCATTTCCTCCTAATCAGCTGGGACTTGGGAGGCAGAGAATAGATGGGGGTGGGTCCAGTCAGTCTGGTATTTCTACTACCGGTTCTCCAAACTACTCAAAATTTCCGCTACCGGTTCTCCAGAACTGGTCAGAACCTGCTGAAACTCACCTTTGGATCACAGTAGTCTCTACTTCTATTAAAATAGCACAATATTATATTGTCTGATAGAATTATTAAATTGTGTATTGAGAGTTTTATGGAGAACAGGGAACTGGAGGATTTAATGACTCAAAATACTTCCGCTTGCCAAATAACTAACTCTAAGTATCTCTACTGTTTTAGGTATTTTATTAAAACACATAAATTATTAGACTTTATTGATTAATAAGGAAGATTCAAAATTTTGACATATATTAATAGAAAAAGCTTCACTTGTTTGGATGGCCCAGTTGCTGCATGCCATGGCCCAGTGCCGGTCCATATACTGAGGGTTGGGGACCCCTGCTCTAATGCAACAAGCATTAATTCTGTAAGTTTCAGTTTGATCAATGACAGAGGAACAACTTGCTCATATAAGTATTTTTTTATAAAAATTCATGTCCATGTTCTATTATATATTGTATAGATAATAGAAATACCTACATTTTTACTCTAAATAAACAAACCAGTATCTCGTCATTACCATTCAATTAAAACAGAGTATCCAGACAAAGATCTCCTGAATAACATGTAATTAATACCAATTTATGTTGTGCTAAATATTTTTAGTAATGATTATTGTTTTGCTGAAGCAGTAGCTCAGGACAGTAGAAACTAGTTAATGCAGTAGATCATCTAATTAGTAAGTGATTTAAATGTAATATTTAAATACAGGTAGTGAACATATAGACAGATTGCAGAACTTAAAGCAGAATTATCTGAACTCAAATCCCAGTATTCATATTCCAGTGAATTTAAGAAATGTCTGATGGCAAATAGAAACATCAGAAATAGGACCCTTTTCCCAGAACAAGCAAATCCAGAAGAATAAACATTTCTTACCATGCCATATTCTTCCAAAGAAGTCCCAAAGATGTCCCAAAATAAAATAGTAGCTTCTTTGGGCCTCTTCTTTAGCTTTACTAGACATCTCATAGAACAGGACAATGAAAACAGATAGGTAGACATAGAAAAAAATCCAAACCGGAACTACCATTAATGCCAGTATAGGTGATAAGACTGCGTAAATAAAATATTTCTCCAAGCCCAAGGGAAGCCATTCTCCATATATGTATGGCAGACTTATTGTGGAGTTCATAAGTCCGGTGCAAAATGTGGTAATGTTTATTATCTGATGAGAAGGGGGGGGGGGAAATCAAAGAACAATATAAGATTAACAATACTCAACAAAAATATTGAGCTGCCACAAATCTTGCAATATAAAGTTTAGGAATATTAGGGCATGCATTGCCTTCCCTCCTGCAAAATAACAGCAATTGTCTGTGAGAATGGTTGAAATCTTGTGAATGCAATTTCTCAAGATCTCAGTGCTTGTATATATAATCTCAAATTTTAATTATTTTGCAAGCTTTTAATTAAATTGGAGGCCACACAGGACTCACAAAATAGTAAGCTGAGATACTCCAAAAGCATTCACAACTATGGGCCAGATACTTACTACTATATATTTTGATCCCTGTCCTAAATGGCTAATTAAATTAATCTAGACAATCAATTGGCTTGCATTTTACTGGATTGTATCTGAAAGTTAGGAGTAGATTTTGAAGGATTTTAATATAATTTTAGATATGTACTGTGATAATACATATTCTATTAAGACAATTTTAAAAAAGCTAATGCTGGTTATGAAATATATTAGGACAGTCAGACATGGACTTCAAAGTATAAGTTGATTTGCTTTCTTTTTAATTCTTTAACAGTAAGCACTGAAAACTCATTAATTCATACTCATATATCAGGTTTCAACTTTCCTGTTAATTACTTATGCTACATTACTTAAAGAGCATTAACCTGATCTTAGATAACTGAGGAGGAAAATACTCAGGATATCATGTACAAAACCTTAAATCCATAAGTGTTAGAGATCGGGTATTTGATTAGTCTGTGTTTATAAATCTGTAGCCAAGAACAAAACTAAATATTTATGTTAATTAAATATCTTTAATTAACAATTTCTGCTATCATATTTGTTTATAATTGGTTCAATAATGTTAAGATCAATATACATTAAACTATGTAGCTGAAATTTGAATTATACCTTACAAACAAAAGATATCACTTTTTTTTTCATGGCAACTCAAAATATAAAGTTATATGGGAAAATAATAATGCATGTAACAGCTTTCTTCCACTCATTGATGACCTTTATTGAGGTCAGAATGGAGAGATATGCAAATTCATAACTTGAATAATATTGTCAGACTTTTAAAAAGCTGAATTAGAAATTTGAAACTAGAAATTCAAAATTGTCCAATCAAATAAGTCACATGTTGATTGTGAAAACATTTCCCCATTTTTCTTCATAGATTTTAGCTACGTCGTAATTCTGAAAACACACTTGCAAATTATTTACTTAAAAAAAAACTTTCACAGGATCATCTTAATGTTTACAATCCTTTCCATCAAATTGTTCAGTTTTATCTACTTTTTTAAATGAAAGAGGGACAATACAAATTAATATATTTTTGTTATATTTACTAGGTATACATTTACTTACTTACTTACTTACTTACTTACTTACTTACTTACTTACTTACTGGACTAGCACTGATAATGTTACCTAGTTTGGATAATGAAAATTTTTGCAAGAATATAAGAATTTTAGCAATCTCATTACTTTGTTCCTTTAAGATTATTTAGTTACTGCTTATTAAAATCTTATTACCTTAAATAGTATTATGTATTAAACTTCAAAATAACAATTTAAAAATATTACCAAAATCTGGGTAGGTGATTATTGTCCTCTTCTTTTTCAAAGCCTTTTAAGTGGATTAATTTGTAAGAGCTGTCCGAGCTTGAAATCTTTTATTTGTTAATGGGTTTACACTTTTGTTTCTTCTTTTGTTCATCTGTCATATGTTGAGATATTTCTGCTGACTGTATCTTTTGACTTTAAAACTACCTTGCTGTAGGTGTGGTTTACGTCTCTAATTATTGTTTAATAACCATATCACTTCCCTTAGCTGCAAGAAGATAGTTATCTGTTAATGGTCTCCCACCATTCCTTTAATTATTGTTGTTTTTGTGCTATGACTTCATTCTTCTTCATACTGATCACCAACATTTTATGTTAGTTCTGAAACAATATATAAAAGAAATATTTATATAAATATGGCATTTTCTATAATCTCCCTCAAAGAGAGTGAATTTTGTGACTTCAATTTATTTGCAATTTCAAAATAAATTCAGCCTTTTAATTTTATTTCTATTTGGTTCTCAAACTCAGTTTAATAGACCATTTTGTGGAAAGGGGTATACTGAAGGGGTATACTGAAGGGATATATTTCAGTGTTATACTGAAATATTAATTAAATTCACATCTACATCAATAATATAATGTAAAGATTTGCTCACGATATAGATGTATCTTGCACCATTTGCATAAATTTACATCATTGTGCAAATGATATAAATTATGTCAGTTTGGAGAAGCCTAGTCCAATTTAAAATTTTGTTGCTTCTGAAGTCCACTTTTTCTATTGATTTTTATTCTTTCTTTCTGCATTTTTGTTTTTATTCTTTCTCTCTTTCTTTTTATTCTATATTAGTTTAATAGTTTTATATTCCCTATAAATTTTAAATAAAATAAGAAAAAAATGAAGTCTATTGAATGGGGATCTGAATAATCAAGCTTGTATTATATATCAAAAAGTGTTCTAAATCTTTGTAAAAATATAATAAAATATTGTTAAAATATTTAAAGATCAAAGATATAATTAAAACATTTAAAATTGTTGACTGTCTCAGGAATTTCACACACTAGTTGTAATATAAATCTAAACCCTTATAGTTTGAAATCTAAAAGCAATAGGGAAAAGGAGCACAGGAGAAATGATTTAGGACAAGTAAAGAGAGCTCACCCTGTCGTGCAGCACTCACTTCTCGAATCTGGGCTTTCAGCTTTCTATCTGACAAGCTCAGCATCTTTAACTACTGAGCCATCACCCCACATCTTGTCCTACATAGTGACTATTAAAGTCTTTACACTGTGTGTTGTAGATGACTCCTGATTTTTCTTCTCGGACTGCTAGGTCTTTTGTTTTACATGTTCTCTAATTTTGGTCTCCGAATCTGCTAACATTGTAAGATTCAAAGAATCATAGGAATATGGGAAGTATTCTAGTTCAACCCCCTGCTCAAGGCAGCAATCTTTATAGTATCCTGGGCAAATAATTGTCCAATCTTTTCTTGAAAACCTCCAGCAATAGAGCACCCACAATTCTGGGAGACAAGCTGTTCCATTGTTTAATAATTCTCACTGTCAGAAAATTCCTCCTCATTACCAGGTTGGACTCCCTCTGATGAGCTTCTACCCATTGCTTCTTGACCTGCCTTCAAGTGCTATGGAGAGTAAATTGATACCCTCTTCCCTGTAACAACCCTTCAAGTATTAGAAGACTGCTATTAGGTTTCCCCTAACGCTTCTCTTCACTAAACTAAACATAACTAGTTCCCATTGATCATACGATTTAGCTTCCGGACTCCTTACATTGCTGATGTCTCTGTCTGTGGTCTTTCTAGGTCCTCTGCATCTTTTTGTATCATGGTGACGAGAACTGGATGCAGTATTTCAAATGTGGCCTTACTAGTGCAGTATCACTTCTTGTGATTTTGATGTTCTCCCTTTGGCTTTTTTGGTAGCTAAAGCACACTTCTGACTCATACTTATGTGGTGGTTCAACAGGACACCTAGATCCTTCTCGCAGGCACTACTGTGGGCCAGGCATTCCTCTCCTGTACCTGCTCATTTGGTTTTTTCTGCCTAAATGCAGTACCTTTCTTTTCTAACCACTGAACCACATTTTACTGGACGGGGCCCAGTTCAAGACTTTCAAGAGCCTTCTGAATCTGTAGTCTATCTTCCAAAATAGTAGCAGTTCCTCTCAGCTTTGTATCATTTTCAAATTTGATGAGCATCCCTTCAATCCCTTCATTCAGTTCATTTATGAAGATGTGGAAGAGCACTGGACTCAAGTGAGGTACCGCACTCATGCTTTGCTCCATGTAGATGTAGTCCCATTGAGGACTATATACTGAATGTGGCTGATCAGCGAACTGCAAATCCATCTGGTGGTAGTATTGTCTATACCGGGTGTCTACAACCTGCAGCTCCGGAGTCACATGCAGCTCTTTTGTCCCCTGCTGTGGCTCTCTGTCCACTGAACCCAGAACTGGCTGGCCCGGCCCTGCCCCTCACCCTCCCCTCCCAGGCACTCCACGCCTGGCCTGAGAAAGTAAGGGCAACAGCGAGGGATGGAGACTTGCTCCATATTCCAGAGCAGGAGTGAAGCACCCCTGTACTTACCATATCTCGCAGGTACTTCTTCCGGCCCTTGTTGGTGCTGTGCACACCTTGGTCACTCAGGGAGATACACAACTTGCTCTTTGTCCTAAGACACTGGCCAAGCCCGATCCTCTTCATCGTAATGGGCTCCAGGAGGATGAGGGTACACCATCTCCCCCATTGTGAAGTGCACTAATTTTAACTGTGCTACACAAGGTGCTGTGAGAGCAGCTGGCAGGAGGTGGCAACAGCAGCAGCATTGGCCATAGCCAGGGCCAAACCAGTGTCTCTGGGTGGAGAACAAGTCACGCATCTCCCCGAGTGATCAAGGTGTGCGCAGCACTAACAAGGGCCAGAAGAAGTGCCTGTGAGACATGGAAAGTACAGGATGCTTTGCTCCCACTCTAGAATATGGAGCAAGTCTCCATCGCCCACCATCGTTCTTACCTTCTTAGGTCAGGTGAGAAGTGACTGGGAGGGGAGGGCATGGGGCATGGCCAGCCAGTGGTGGGTTCAACTGACTGGAAGCCACAGCAGGGGGACGAAAGAGCTTCATTTATCTGGAAACCTGAAATGACTCTTGATTTAAATATGATAAAAAGCACCCAAAGAAGAAGAAAGAACAATATCAGCAAAACAAAAAACAAAAAAACCCCACCAACCCTCACCTGTTTTTGGAAATGTTTCAAGAGGGAGCACACACATACAGTCATGAGACAGAGAGAAAGAAAGAAAGAAAGAGAGAGACAGAGAGGGAGAAAGAGAGAGAACGAGAGAGACAGAGAGATACATGTTTCCCACAGAAAAGAAAATACGAGGAGCCACAAAACCTGGGTAAGCTGGGGGGGGGAAGTGTCATGTGACTGGGTGGGAGTGAGTGACATCAAGTTGGCCATGCCCACCCAGGTTTTGTGGCTCCCGGTGATTTCTTTTCTGTGGGAAACGGGTCCAAATGGCTCTTTGAGTATTTAAGGTTGCAAACTCATGGTCTATCCCATATTTTTCTATCTTACCAAGAGATAGGCTGTGGTCTAATTTATTAAATGCTTTACTGAAGTCTACATGAGTATATCCACAAGGTTTCCTTGATCCACTAATTTAGTCACTTTATCAAAGAAGGCAAAAATGTTTGTTTGGCATGATGTTTTTTTTTTATCAAACACATCTGGCTTCTAGTAATCAGCTTGTTCATTTGTAGGTGCTGAAAAATCCACTGCTTGATTATCTTTTCTATTTTTTTTCTCTGGTATTGCTATCAAGCTGAGTAGTCTGTAGTTTCCTGAGTCCTCTTTTTTCCTCTTTGTAAAGATAGGAACCACATCAGCTTTTTTCCAGTTCTCTGGCAGGTCCCCTGTGCTCCAGGAGCTCTGAAAGATTTCATCCAGTGGTTCTGAGATCACATCTGCCAGTTCCTTCAGTATCCTGGCATGTAAACCATCTGGTCCATGAAATTTGAATTCATCCAAAGCAGATAGGTGTTCTCTTACCAATTCCTTGTGTATCTTTATCTGCATTTCTACTCTGTTTCCCACACTGCTGATTTTAATAGGTTGGGCTATTTTTGCTTTTTGCATGAACATAGATGCAAAGAAGGAATTGAGCAGTTCTGGTTTCTCTTTCCTGCCTGCTACTTTCTTGCCATCTTCTCCCATTAGTGGACTGGCTATTTTTTTAACTTTTGTCTTGCTTCTTACATATTGAAAGAAACCCCCCCCCCCTTTTTTTTTTGCTATTTTTGGCATTCGTTGAAATTCTTAGTTCAATATGAGCCTTAACTTTCCTGACTCTGTCCTTGAAGACTGGAGCTATTTGCTGGTATTCTGTTCTGGTTATATGTCCCTCTTTCCAGTTTTTATTGTCCTTTTTGTCTCTTAATTTACTGGATGGCTCTTTTGGCAACCATGCTTGTCTCATCTTATTCTTTCTCTGCAGTATTGTTTTTATTTGAGCTTTTAGTACCTCAGACTTTTTTGTCTCATTGACAATTGTTAAGTTTGGGGTGATATGTGGCAGGTGCCTATTTGAATTCTAAAGTCCCAGTCTACTTTATCTTCTTTATTTTCTATTACTGTGTATATTTTATGGTTCCCACCAGTTCCTGCTTGTAGGTAAATGATATTTCTTGTATTCCAATGCACCATTGTTACTACTTTGTCGTGACGTTTGTTTGTATTCTGTCTGTGTGATTATTGCTTTTCTTGATCTTCCAATCCATGGCTTGTAGTTCAGTTTGCATCCAGTCCACTATTCCAGATGTTATTCTATTCCACTATTCCAAGATAAAGTTGAGAGGTAGGTTGGACAGATGTCTGCCTAATTTACCAAAGTGTAAGAAGGAAGAGGAGAAAGCACAATTAGATTTACAAAATTCTGTAATATGATAGAATACAATTCTTTATTTGGCCAAGTGTGATTGGACACACAAGGTTTTAGGTTTTAGGTTTTATTTGATTTATATACCGCCCTACTCCCGAAGGACAAGGAATTTGTCTTTGGTGCATATGCTCTCAGTGTACATAAAAAGAAA